ATGGAGCACTCAGAGGGATGGGGCTTGCCTCTCTAGCTTTTTTCAGATGGAATCCAAAGATTCAAAGAGGCTGAGTTAAGGCACTCTGACCACACTGCCACCCACCACCTGGAGCCCCAACATGGGACCATGACTGAACCAAAATCACCAGCGGGAGGCTCTGGTCCAAGAGAAGGTGAATGGGGGATGAGGTAGGATTTGAAGACCAATTTCAAGTTCCCAAATGATGATGATGATGATGATGGCGGCAAGGAGGATACAAGAACTCTCCATCTGCTGAGGTTGGGCCCCAATCATGAACACCAGAAGCCACTGTGTGGGGTCCGCAGGGGGCTGAGAAGAATCATCTCCCCTCATCCCCCCCCAAAGATGTCTGTATCAGGAGGATTCTCGTTTGCTTGGTGCCTCGTGCTGCAGTGTGAAGGCAGGAGTGGGGGGCGGGGGGCACAGCTAAGTGTTTGCGGGGAGTTCTTCAATGCTGCCCCTTGTTCCCTCCTCCCTCCCCGTGACCAGACCCTGAATCCTGGCTGTGAGGCTCCCGGAAGATCATCTAGTTCAACAGACTTGGACTGAAGTTGGCTTATCCAACAGACAGCTAGGTGCAGTGACTTACCCAAGGTCACACAGAGCCAGGGCCAGGGCCTAGATTTCCTGACGCCCAGGCCAGAGAGTTGTCCTTTGTTCATATGACCCTGCCCCTTTTCACCTTATCCCCCCTACCCTGCACACCCCAGTTCCGAGACCATGGGCCTTGATGTCCTCGGAACAGATGGCCTTGGCAGGACTCATCTCTGCCCTGGCGTGCCAGGTGAAGGGGCAGATCGCACAGCCTGGCCCAAGGTGCAGTGCTTGGCCTGTGGTGTTCCTGGGCGCCAGCCGGTGAGGAGGCTGCATCCCCCAGCCCAAGGACCTGGTCACCAAAGAGACGCCTGTTCCCGTGCCCCTGGCAGCCCACCATCTGGGGAGAGGCACCAACAGGGGCTCTGCTGGGTGGAGGGGGAGGCAGCCCAGGAGCCAGCAGGGTGCCCAGGAAGCAGATGGTACATTTGGCGCGCTGTCCTCCCCGACTTTCTCTGCACAGCCTGGGCTTTGCAGGCAGAGACTAACCCTCCCCCAGGCAGGCTGGGCTCCGCTCCCCCTCCCCCTCCCATCCCACGCCCTTTATTCCCTGCGAGGAAAGCAAATGCGACTGTTCATTCATTCCCCCTGTCGCCTGCCCCCACTCTCCCTCCCCACTTTCTCAGAGACACGCACCCGCAATTGGTCCTTCCCCACGCGCTTTTTAAGCTCTTCGGCCCCGCAGGCACAGCTAGTCTCCTAGGGCGCATGCGCAGGCATCCCCCCCCCCCCCCCCCCCCCCGCACCCCAGGAAAGAGCCCCTTCGGCACAGTAGTCTCATCTCAGACCCTCTCCCAGCCTCTACTCTCGCTTTTACAAGTTCGCCCGTCACACGCTCTAGTTCCCGTGGAGTTGAGGACTGTCCATGGCATGCGTGTGTGACCTGCGTGGGAACGCGCTAACCTTCATGCTGTTGTGGAATGTGGCTCGGCTCCCTGGGGGCCTGCACGAGCGGTCCGGAGGTGCGGGACCCTTCTAATCCCCGTGTCTCATTAGGAGAAGCACAAAGCATGCTGATGGAAAGGAGGTGGCAGGCTGTGGGGACAGGAGTCTGGCCAGCTGACCCTGTTGCTGCCCCTTTCTTGGGCAGGCATGGAAATTTCAGGAACCCTCCTGCTTTTTGGACAACAGGGATATATTCCCTGCTGAGGACCTGTAGCCACATAACTCTGTGACCTAAACGCATTCCTCTCCCTTCCTCAGGCACTACTCCATGCCTTCCTAACTTTTGGCTCATGCTGTTTCCTCTCCTGGTTATGTTCCCCCTGCTTCCCCCACCAGGCAAAATCTGATTCATCCCTGAAGATCCAGCTCAAATGACAGGAGCCATTCTGCTGTCCCTCCACAGGGGTAGAGGCCCTCTCCACCATGCTCTTTGTACGCTGTATCACTACAAACACTTAGGACATGGGATTACTCCATGGACTTTCCCCTTTCCCAAGCTAAGAATTCCTCGTGGGCATGGACCCGGATATTACCTAGCCTTGAATTCTTGGCTGGGAACCTCAAACACAGGCGAGGTCCACTGAAAGCCTGCTGAGTTGAACTAAGCAGGTGTTAAGGAGGCAGAGTGGGAGGGGTGGGGCAGCATCTGGCAGTTTTCATTCTAAAGAAAACGGGGGAGGGGGCAGGGGGGATCACAAAATCCCTTCTGAGTCAACCTTGTGTCTGAAGACAGACTTCTGGGCACCCGGTTCACGCCCTTTGGCACGTTCTGCCTGGAGAACCTTTGTTCTTCACCCCCGATACAGCTCTGCGGCTACTTTGTCTTCCCTATGCCGCAGCTCTGCGACTAGCCCGTAAATTGCCCTTGGTGGGAAATCGTGACTGTTTTGTGTCTTTCAGCATCTGGCTCTGGACTGAGCATTTGGGAGACGCTCAACAGTTTGATATCTGTGGTTTGAAAGAATCTGAGCCTCTGGGCTTCAAATGTAGCTATCAGATTTCTGATCTGACTTCCGGAATAATTTTTCATGACAGTTGTGAAGTTTGGGGGAAATTTGCCAAGAAAAGGCTTTGGAATTGTTTTCTTAAGAGTTTCTTAGGAATAGGATCCTTTCTCCACCCATCTCCTTGGAGCCAGGTAAGAGGGGGGAGGTGGGGAAGAAGGGTGGCAAGAGAACTTCAAGGTATTCTTGACTTGTTCGCGCTGTCAAGTTGAAGCAGGATGTCTTTCATATTCCTTTATTTCCTCTGCTGTGAAGCATGTTGGAGTGTAAAAGTTGTTTCACAAAGTTAACAGGGTTTTGAAGAAGGAACAGATATATGTAGAGTAACCTACACATCTACTCACACACCTGTCTACATAGGTGCCAATGGCACTGAAAGAATGAACTTGTGGATGGAGGAGGGGCTTCCTAAAATCCCCGGGAAGTCAGCACATTGTATGCGTGTGTGTGTGTGTGTGTGTGTGTGTGTGTGTGTGTGTTGGGGGGGTGTTGCTTAAAGGCAATTTCACCTGAATCCCCTCTGGCTTACAGCTGCAGGGAGCAATGGAGGAAGCGGACTTCATCTAGATGGGGGGATGGGATGATGGTGATTGTTTTGCTGCTGAAACAAAACAGTTTAGGTTTGGGGAGCTGAAATGCCCCCTGCCCCCAGGGGCACGCCAGGCGCTATGCTCCCCTGAGGGGCAGAGGTTGCAAGGTGTGAGGACGGTGCAGAAGCGGGGCTTATCCAGGCCTTAGCACCAGGTTGCTTATAGCCACGATAAGATATTGACTTTAAGCAGGAGCCTTGGAGAAACCAGCAGCAGCGAGGAAGGATGGGGCATTATATGGGAGCACGAGGGAAGGAGGCTAAGAGGAAATGGGCCCCATTTTCTGTAAATGAGCAAAAGAGAAAGATGAGACAGACTATAATGGGAATTTCTTGAAGTTAGGGACCTAGCTTAATCCAATTTCTTAAAAATCTCTGGAACTTTTCTTAGCCTAATGCAGCTGGGCCTTACTTACTTCTGGAACATCCCCCCCCCCCCCCCCCCCCGCCAACACATACAGTAGGGAGCTATAGAGGGGCAGCATCTCCTGGAGGAGTGAAGGAGAAGGGGAAGGTGAGTGAGCCCTGCGGGGCCCAGGCTCTGCTTGGAGGCCAGCCAAGCCACTCACCTGGCCCAGGCAGGGAGGGGAGAGGATTTCAAGGGGAGGGACAGCCCATATAGGGAATAAATTACTGCAAGGGGCAGGGATAATAGATAATCAGAGCACGGTTTAAAGAGCGTAGCTGCAGACTAGACCGTGGATGCTGGAGAGACCTGGGCGGGGCGTCTTAGCCCACCCCCTTGGTTTCCAGACGTGGGGGCTGAGGGCAGAAGGGACCCGCAAGGTCAGACAGCAAATGGGAACAAACTACCTCCTCACCTGGGTACTTGAGGGTTCCCACTTGTGCTCACTCATGATGGGGATCAGCCCCCCCGCCTCGAGGCCTCTGTACCTTTACACCCTTTACATCCCAGAGGAGCGACTGTGCACATTGCCCAGGCCTCTTCAAGTTGGAGCCTGAGGCCAGCTCCTTGGCCTTGTAAAACCATCCCAAAGAGGGGTGAGGAGGAAGACAGGAGCCAGCTGTGACCTGCACCAGCCACCAGGTGTCACTGATGTGTCTGCCTTAGAGGGGGAAGCCCATCTGTGCTTGTGGAACAGGCTTCTGGGAGATTTCCGGAAGCTCCGCCCCTTCCAGAGCACTTTCTCATGAACTGCTTCCGGGCTTTGGACAGGATTGGGCCATCCACACTGATAGGGAACAGATAGTGGGGCGGGGCTGGTGGCTCTGTACCCTTCACTGTGGACACCGTGTGGCCCCGGGCATCAGGTCTCTTGTCCAGACTGGCAAGAGGGCTGCGGGACCCATCTGTATCCACAGGGGCCCAACCCTGGGGGCCTCTGATTCTCACCCCTCTCCCGCTGGCTGATTCCTGGTTCCCGGAGCTATTCTTCTCCTTGACTGTTCCTCCCTGCTCTTACTCTTGAGATAGAGATGCCCGGCCAGAAGGGCGTGTGCGGAGGAGGGCCCCGGCTAGCCCAATCAGGAGACTGCCAGATGCAGGCCCCTGCGGGAACCCTGACCCTTCACCCTCCTTCAGCCATTCCCTTGCACTTCCTTGCTGGAGAACGCGGGCTGGGAAAGAGCCAGCACAATGTCTGGTGCCAACGAGCAGGGCGGTGGAGTAGCAGTTTTGGAAGGCGGGATCCGTGGCTAAGGGGCCTCTTGGGGCCAGAGCCGCCCATGACGGTGGAGTCTCCAGGAGGACTTTCCAAACCTCACCTCTGGGCTGCTCCTGACCGCCTTCTGCTTGCTTCGGCCAGGACCAAGTTCCAGACGTCAGCCCATGGCCCCGACTTACCCAGGAGTGACAGGGTAGAGGAGGAGGAGAGAAGAGGATGTCTTTAGACACACCTCTGTGCTTCTGGGGCCAGAAGCGTGGGTGTGCAGCGGGTGTCTTTGAGCTGGGTGAACTAAATCAAGCCCTTAGAAGTCTTGCTCTAGAAGCGTCGGGTGCGGCAGAGTTATGTGGCTAGTCCCTGCCTTGGGAAGGCGGGGTAGGAAAGGCAAAGCTGGGAGCGAGAAAGGAAGATAGAGGACATGAATGGTGGGCACAGGCACCTGGGCCACCAGCGTTCAAGTGCGGTCAGAGGAGATCCGGGGGGCAGAGTAAGGCCTAAATGACCACGGACTGCAGCAGACGGAAGCACATCATGAGGTCCAGTGGGATGGGTGGCTTCAGGTGGTTCCCATCCAGCCGCAGGTAGCGGAGGTGTGGCACGTCCTCCAGATCTGAGGAGAAGTCATGGAAGGCAACTAGATTGTTGGGGCAAATCTGGGTCCCATTGATCTCTGTGGAGAAAGAAGGGAGAAGTCAGCAGGCGAGGTGGGTGGGGGGTCGGGAGAGATGGGGCTGGAGGCAAAGATGAGGAAGGAGAAGGGGGGGTGGACAACTGAGGATAAGAAGTCGAGTTCTCTTCTCTGGAACTGGCTGACCTTGGGAATGGGTGACAAAGGGTGAGTCAACCCTATCCCCCCCACCCCCCAGGCTCACTTTACTCGTTTGTAGAATGAATTGAGTCAGAACCAATCAACCATTGTTATCGGAAATTTGCTCGGTGGAGTCATGGAGGAAGTCAACCGTGAGCTGGACCTTCAGAGATGGGTGGGACCACAGCAGGTGGAGATGTGGGGGATGGTGTTCTGCTAGAGTGACCTCCGGTTTGAAGGAAATTGTAGAGGCCGCTCAAGGCAGAATCCGGGAGTAGTAAATAGTACAGTGGGATGTCCTTGGGGAGATAAGCTGGACAGCTAAGCGTTAGCCACGCGCGTGGTAGGCTTTCAAATGGAAAACGAGACTCCACTGTGTCCTTTGCCTCTGGTGCGATGACACCAGGTTTGTCATCTTCTGAATGAGCTCTGTATTCCCCCTAAATCTTGCCTCTTTCATCATCTGTGGGGTCAGCGTTGTTGTTAGTGATCTTCTTCTTCTTCTTCTTCTTCTTCTTCTTCTTCTTCTTCTTCTTCTTCTTCTATCTTCATCTTCATCTTCATCTTCTTCTTTCTCTCTCTTCATCACTGGAGAACCCTGACATCAGTGGATTTTCTTCTCATGACCACTGTGACTTTGGACTGTCACCTTACCGCTCTGACATTTAGTTCCCAAATCTGTGAAATGGTGAGAATGGTGCCTGCCCCCCACCCCAGATGAGAGGATGTTGGCAAAGGCATTGTGCAGACTGTTAAGGATGGGGCAGGTGGCAGCATTAAGATCATTGCTGCAAACATGGCCATCACACTGACCTAGGGCTGGCTCTGCCCACTCTGTCCATCCTTGACACAGGACACAGCCTGGGCGCAAAGGATATCAGTGGATGGGGTGTGATTTTTCTGACTTCAGCCTCAAAAGGCAGGATATCCCCTTGGAGCCTGCCCTTCCCCACCCTGATAGAGACCTGCCGGCCATTGAGTAAGGTATTCTTTCTGCCTGGATTTTCGGCCTATCTAGCTTTTGGGGTAATGCGTTCCATCAGTTCGCTACCTGCAGGATAAAATTAAACAGTTTCCCCTTTTTCTGAATTTGCTTTTTTGCAAGCTTTATAAAAAGCCCTCCCCAACTTCCTGTAATTATCCCAGATGAATGAACGAACCTGTTCTCCCATCCATTTGTTTCAAGATTGTAGGAATTCAACAATCTCCCTCTCATTCTTTGGCTTGGAAACTAAGGACGCCTAATATTATCTCAGGGGTGCTACCCTTTCCCCTTGGTCCCCTTCAACACTATCGCTGCTACATTCCCGGTGTGGGTGGAGCCTGGTTTTGTTCAAGGACCAGATAATATTCTCTCTTGTTTTTGAAGCTTTCTGTCGATGTTCTGCTCAGAGCTGACATTGTTGATCGAAGCAAAAGTGGGACTTCCAGCTTCTTCTTCTGGGCTGCGATCTTTACCCCAAGCCCAGGACCCTATAAATGTAGCTTAGGCAAATTCTACCTTAAATGTGCTCTTACGTGATGAAATACTCCAGCCTTCCAGCTAGACTCGGAAAGTGCCTGCGCACTGGCATATTCCTCTGGCTGCCGGGTCTTTACCGGCTGCCTACCCTGAGTACGTAGCTGCTTTGCTGTGAACATCTTTTAGAGATTCCTCAAAATCTAGGCTCAGCTTTCCTCTCATAACTGGCAGCTTGTACAGGGGACAGGCCCAGGACATTTCAGAGTAGTGACATTCAGAACACGTCACTGTTCTGCTTTCACGAGAATGTCTGGGACTGCCTTCGTGTCTACCCAACTGTAGCTCTGGAGGGCAGAGAACCTGGGGCTAGCGAGAAGGGGCAGAGGAGGAAAAGCTCTTACCCTCCAAGCATGGTATTCTGGGCACTTTATCCATATTAGCCTATTAAATCCTCATATCAACTTTGTGACCAAAGGTATTGTTCCCATTCTCATCTTACAGATGAGAAAACTTCCTAGAGAGGTGAGATATCTGTTCGAGGTCACACAGATAGTAAGTGACAAGGTCAAGATTTGAAGTCCAGTGCCAAACTGGGTGCTTTCTTGCTCTACCCCCCACCCCCTTCGCCCCAAACTCCTAGAAAGGATTGAGGCAATAAGAGCCTCCACTTCCCTGGCCGTGGCCGTGGCCGTGGCCGTGGCCCTGCCCCCACTCACTCTCTATGCTGTTGTTATTGAGGTACAGGTGCTCCAGCTTGTTGTTGATGGCAGGCACACTGCTGATCTTGTTGTGCGACAGGTGGAGCACGAGCAGGTTGGAGATGTTGAAGGAGTTCTTGGGGAGCCCCCTGTCTGACAGCCTGTTGTAGTTAAGGCGAATGAAGGCAAGGTTGGGGAAACCCTTGAAGTAGCCATTAGGGATGGTCTCGATCCTGTTGCTGTCCAGGTAGAGCTGGTGAATGGCCGTGGGCACCTTGGGTGGCATCTTTCTCAGGATGTTGTGGGCCAGGTTGAGCTGCATGAGGTTCTTGAGGCCCTGGAAGGTGTCAGGCTTGAAGACGCCATCACTCAGCTTGTTGTGTTGCAGATCCAGGAGCAGCAGGCTGTCCAGCTTGCTGAAGACGCCGGGCGGGATTCTGGAGATCTGGTTCTGGCTCAGCCTCAGCTGCTCCAGGTTCCGGGGCAGGGCCGAGGGCACCTCTTCGAGCTGGTTCTTCTCCATGTAGAGGAATATCAGACTGGGCAGTTTCTCCAGTACCTTCTGGTCTATCTTTCGAATTCGGTTGTTATCCAGATTGATCCACCTCAGGCCTGTGGCATTCTGGAAGGACTCCACTGGGAGCTCAGTTATGAAGTTGTTCTGCAGATAGAGGTAATGGATGCGGGGCGGGATGACAGGGACCTTCCGGAGGTTGCGGCTGTCACAGTAGAGGGCAGACGGGAAATCCGGCGGGCAGTAGCATTCCCGGGGGCAGTCAGGGAAGACTGAGGGAGGGCCTGGTGGGAGGGGAGGGGGCAGGTCTGTAGGCTCCAGTGGCTCATGGGGCTGAGAAAAGCTGGGGGTGGGCCTGGGTCTGGGCCTGGGCCTGGGTCTTGGTCGTCTTGTCAGCTGGCCTTGGGCCACTGAGGCCAAGATGAGGAGAAGTGGGAGGAGCCAGCAGAGGGATGACCTCATGATCCAGGTGACGCACCTGCAGGGAGGAGACACAGGAAGTCATTAGCCTTCTGGGCCCCGAAATTAGAGGCCCTGTCTTGGCACGAGAGTTGGCCAGGGGAGCCGTGGGAGAGACCTGTCGAAGCATCTCTTCGTCTGCCTGTATCCAGCAGGTAAGAAAATAACAAGGACTTGAGGGTCTGGACCCCCAGCTCACAGGCCTTGCCTGCTCTGGTGAGGATGAGCCATCCTGGCAGAAAGCACACTGGCTGTGAATCAGGAGCACTGGCGCTTGCTGGAGAAGACCCTTAACCTCTCTAGCGCTTGGTCTCCCCACTTGCAGCATGGGCAAATCATCCCTGTTCCTAGAAGAGGGATGTTAGGAGACATGAACCATAGAGTCCTAAGTGGTCCATCTGGACGGGTCCTTAGAGATCCCATAATTCAGTGGTTTTCAGACTGTGCCTCTGTTTCTGTAGAGTCCCCCAAGGGAGGGAGACTGAGTAGGTGGCCCCAGGGCACCCCCAACTCACCCCTGTGCCAAGCTGAGCAGCTCTGTGCTTTTAAATCTGTTATATAAAGAGGTTTGGCCAAAGCATGTATTTGAAAGAAATGTCACATTGCTAAAAATGGCTTGAAATCCACCAATCGAGCCCAGATTCTACTGTTTACAGAAATTGGGTCCTGGAGGGATGAAGCGGTTTGCCCAGGCCAGAAAGCTATTGAACAGCAAGCCCAGGACAAAAACCCAGGTCTCCTGCCTTCCGGAGCAGGGCTTGCAGAGGTCCTGGAAAGGAAGGAAAGTGCTGTAGACACACTCGTGTCTTGTGTCTGCCCCTGCTCGCTCCTCACCCCTGCGCTCAGCTCAGGGAACGCTGCTCTTTGCCAGCCAGAGGCACACCAAGAATTTCTCCCCAGATGTGGAGGCTCCTGTGAAAATAAACAGGGCAGGGATCAAAAGCTGTGGGGAAATCACTTTCCTTTCTTCTGACATGTTCTCGCCGCCCCCATATCCACTGGAGCTGGCGGTGTTGAGACTGGATATGAAGAAGAATTTCCTGCTGGCCCCCTGACATAGTGGAATAGGTCACTGAAGGCTATTTTGGGGCCGTGCTCCCCAGTGGCTCTGATGAGCCTTCAGGTAGGATCATGGGGGTTGAGTTTAATTAAGCTGGAGAAATAGCAAGAGGACCAGGGCTGCCAACAGAGTGGCAGCTCCCCCCAGCTTCCTCCCCTCACTGGCCAGCCAGCCAGGAGGGGTGCAGGCAGGGGTGGCCTGCACCCTCTCCTCCACAGGGCCATCAGCCCAGTGACGCTCCCCTCCGGGCCACAGCCAGCGTCTCTGTCCCCACACTGCTTCCGCTGGTCCTCCTTGCTGCTTTCTTACGAGGTGGTCTGCCCCTCCGCTCCTGGGGCTCAGGGCGGGGGATACAGGTTTCCTGGGGTTCTCTGACCTAGGGTGGGCCGCCATGTGTCCCCAGCTGCATCTGGACGCTGGGACCATGCCCCTGTGCCGGGCCTCTCGCTAGCTTTCCTTTGAGCCCCCATCAGCTTGCACTCCTTCCTTGGATGCTTCTTGCTGGCCTTGCTCAGAGGAAGACGAGGTGGTCTTCCTCACCAGCTGCTTAGCTCTGGGCCAGATGCTCAAAAGGCACCGAATGTGACAAGAAACAGCAGAGAGGGCAGACCTCAACCCAAGGGGTAGAGGGTGTCTCCCTGCCCCTTTCACACACACACCCTCCACACCTAACCTGCTCTCTTTCTCATGCACACACACACACCCCTCCCCACACCACACACATGAGCAAGCCCGTGTTCACATGTCCACTGTGTGTATGTGTGTGAATTCTTACACAGTACTCGGAGAATGGGAGGGAGGGAGGGAAGGAGGGAGGGAAGATTGATGAGGAGAAAGGAGGGAAGAGGTTGCCCTGCAGTCTCTGTGGTTCTCCATCTCCCTCTAAGGGGGTCTCTCCCCAGGCAGGCCTCTCCAAGGAGCTCCACAAGGGCCATTTCCCTGGGCCTCCTATCACGAGGAAGAACCATGCAGTTAGATTCTCAGCTTTACCTCCAGCTGAGGATCCAACAGTCCCACAAGGACTGAAAAGAGCAGACATTCATTGTAAACTTGAGTCTTGTTGCCAGGCCCGACACCACTGAGGACTGGTGAACTATGAATTAATATTTCATAAGTCCTGTAATTTTCTTGAAAATAGCACAGTCATAAACGTTTTAAGGGGGTGGTTAAAGCATTAGTATGCTGAACACAAACATTTTTAAAAGCCCCAATTTTTGTGACCCTATTTGTTTTGGCATTTCTTTATTTTCCGATTACCTGGGAGCCAGAAATAAGCCAGAAATCCCTCAGGATGTGAAGCTCTGCTTCAGGGAGGCTCCCCATTTCCCTCCCTTGCCTTTGTCACCAAAAGCATCTACCAGGTATTGGGTCTTGAGTTAAGCAAGTGAAACTTGTCCAGAACTTCCAGCAAAGGCTGCTCTGTGGGGCTCCGTGACTGGGCAGCTGGCCTTTGCTCATGGGTGTCTCCAGGGGGCTCGGGGCCTGGGCAGCCCTGGTGCTCACTGTCAGGACGGACAGTGCTCCTTCCATCCACAGTGAGCACAAGTCTTTCCCATCCCCAACTCCTGCGCCAGACCCTTTGGGAACTTCTCTATCTTCCCCCACCCCCACCCCCCGCTCCCCCCAAGCTCCAAGCCCCAAGCCACCTTCTGACCCTCTTACATTCCAGACCTCTGGGGCTGGCCAAGCTCCTCGAAGAGCCACAAGGAGGTTTCGGAGGAAAAGTTCTCTGTGCCTGATTCACGGAGAAACACTGCATCTGTTCAGTTCCCCTTCTCTAAGCCCCAGGGCTCAACGACTCTCCACTGTGTGTGTGTGTGTGTGTGTGTGTGTGTGCGAGCGCGCGCGCGCGTGTGCGCATCCATTCTGCTTTCTTGAGAAAATAGAGTTCATTTCTAAGCCTTTTTTCACCGGGCAACGCCTCTTCCTGCTGGAGCCTGAGTGTCCAGAGGGGAGGTCCTGACCGCAGCTGTTGCTCCTGGCGGTCCTCAGCGAGGTCCTAAGTCCCCGAAAGCAGAATCTGTGTGACAGGGTGGAGGTCCCTGGACTCCCAGGGGAGTCATAACCCGCCCCCCTCAACAAAGCCCAAAGTCACACTTTCTTCTGCTCCTGCCTTCCAGAGCTTTCCATCCAATCATAAACTCCCTTACTTAGGGTGGGTCATGAGTGTGTGCAGATTTTTCAATTTCGTATGCCTTTGCAGGCACACCTCCCCACCCCCAGCTTTCTGCTGGGCAGTGCTCCCTGCTCCGTCAACGGACTCCCGTGGACCAGCAACCACGGTTCTGGGCACCAGCATCTGCTCAAGAGAGCTGCTGCTTCACGGGGGCAAAGCCCAACCCAACATTCACTCTCTCACTTCAGAACATTTCCTGCAAGAGTTCTCCGTGAATTTCAGTTCAAGTATTGGAGATCTGGGCTTGCATCCTGGCTCTGACCCTCCTCCTCAGGCTCTTCATTTGTGTGAGGATGGAATGAGATCACACACATGAAGGCATGTTGTAGAGCAGAAAATCTCTACCAGTGGCAAGGGGTTCGTTTATTCACCTATTTATTTATAAAAGAGCCAATTCTCTTGGGAGACTGATTTTTAAAGTGAGATAACCCTCATCCCTACGTGGCTCGTGAACTCATTCATTGAAGGCTCGAACATCCAGGACTAGTGCAATGTTGAGGCTCAGGGCAGGGCTGGGTTGAAGTTCACGTGGGTTTGTCAAGTCAGTACGAGCAAGTTTAAGGGTAATTGGCTTTGCATGAAGAGTCTGGCATCGGGGTTGGGCTGGGAGCAAGGTTGGGTGTGTCTCCCCGGGTTGAAGAAGGATTACTCCACACTACAGTTGACCCTTGAACAACACAGGTTTGAACATCGTGGGTCCACTTACGCAGATATTTTTCGATAACTATATGTACAGTCTTATAAATGTGTTTCCTCTTCCTTAGGATTTTTAAATCACATTTCTTTTCTCTAGCTTACCTTATTTTAAGACTGCAGTGTATAATACGTATAACTACAAAATATGTGTTAATCCACTGTTGATGTTATTGGTGAAGCTTCTGGTCAATTGTAGGCTGTTAGTAGTTAAGTTTGGGGGGAAGCAACAGTTATACGCAGATTTTTGACTGTGTTGGGCTTGGCAACCCTAACCCCTGTGCTTTTCCAAGGGTCAGCTGTACTCACCGGCAGTCTTGTTCTTGTCAGATTTCCTGCCTAGTTGGTCACCTCCAAGCCTCCATGGCTTAACTCAGCCAGTGACCCTACCATGGATAATGGGGCTGCTCCCCGCCCCAGAGCCACAGCCATGGACATTGGGGTGACCCTCTTTCTTTGTTCCCTTCTTTCTGTTCTACACTCAGACTTCTGAAAGCTGTCCTGCTCGCTTTATCTCTTCCAGAAGCCCAGAAGGAGGTTGGAAGCCAGGAGAATCAGATGGTCATTTGTTAGCAGGGGAGTGGAGACAGCCCCCCTCCCCATCCAGGCTGCCTGAGCCCCTTTCAAGGCCTCCAAGTAGGGCTTATGTGGTCCTCAGGAAACAAAAGGGCTGATATGGAGGCATGATGAATTCAACACACTATTGATGCAGCTGCCCCTTTCCTGGGGGGGTGAATCCGTATAAGGGTGAGCCTGACTGGGGCAGTGGGGTTACTAAACAGGGGGTGAGGGTTCTCAGCGCATCTTCCGCTACCTAGTTACGTGACCCTGTCTTCAGCCTCAGTTTCCTTACCTGTAAAACGGGGATAACAAATCTTTCCTATCCCTATATTCCTCACCCAGTTGTTGTCAGAAACAAGAGTGATAAGCGACTTTAAAATGAACCGCAGATCAAAAAATACTAAAAATAAATATAACACTATTATGGAGAGACCATCTGTCTCCCCAGCAGCTACCACAAGGCAAAATGTAAACAGAATGAAGTTTTTTTGGCCTGAGGCCACTAGTCCAGAAGAGCACGTTTTCCATTCCGAGGGACTAGGGACAAAATGGGGTGAGATGGCCGTCCTCCTCCGGCAGCCTGGCACCTCACCATATCCTTCGTTCTGCCTCCAGGCCCTACTATCTCCAACCCCTGAAGAAAGCCTAGAAGAATCTGTCTGATGCCTCGAGCCCTCATAGATCTGGGTCCCAACCCTGCAAGTCTCCAGCTGCTTAGCTGGATACGCTTGGGCAAACCTCCTACCTCTACTGGGCTCTAGTGTCCTCATCTGTAAAATGGGCATATTAACCCCTTCTTACCAGATTGTTTTGAGGGTTAAATGCGTGAATGTGTTTAAAGTGAGTGCTCAGTGAACATTAAGCTGTTGTTGACATATTTTTAAAGTAATTGGATCTCTTTCCCTCTAGCTTGGCCAGCCAGATGCAGGGATTCTTGTAAGTGGGCACTGGCTTCTGGATTTTCCCCAGCTTTTCCACACAGAGCAACCTCCTCCCTTTGGGGCCTGTGAGACCACCATTGGGTCTTAGAACCAATGAGTCGGAGAGACCATAGGAGCCCCCAGCCACCTGGTAGAAGGCTCACCTTGTCTTTTCAATTCACTAACCCCACCTGGAAGACTTTCTGTAGCGGGTGAGGGGACGCTGGCCAGGGAAGGCAAAGTCTCACCGCCTCAGCTGGCTCTGGAGCCCCCTGTGATCCATGACTTCCCCTCCCCAACCTTTTGCCCCTTCCAGCCTTGACATGCTTCCCTCACCTGCCCAGTAAAAGGGGCTGCCCACCGGGGAAGGGAGGAGGATTGCAGAGCCTGGTGTTCAGCCTGTCCTCTCTCTGAGCACAAAAGGACAGATAGCTGTGGGGCAAGGGGAGAGGAGATCTAGAAGGGATGGGGAAGGGCCCAGCCCAGTGCCCAGGGCAGGCGGATTAGCAAGTGAGAGGAAACATAAGCGCTTTGGAGCTATCTTGGGGGAACTTTCTGGGATGTTCCCTATGATGTGGTTGCCGGCGCTTGCGGGGAAGAAGGGGGTGGGAACGAGCACCTGAAGGAACAGGCTGGCCCATCTGGGACACTCTGGAGCTCCTCCACCAGACGGTTCTTGTCCAGCAAACCACACAGCCCTTCTGCCCGTCTAACACTGCCCTGAGTCCTGGGCTCTTCAGTCCCAGCATGGGTGACTCTCAGGCCCCTGATTCAGGTTCTCAAACCCTGGCTGACTGTCAGGAACCCCTCAAGTATTAAACAATAGATTCCTGGGCTCCATCTGGAAGGTCTGGAGTGAGGGGTCCAGGCATCTATATTTTTAGTAAGCTCCCCTACCCCCCGAATCAGTCAGGACGGGGGAGATTTTGAAGATCAACCACATTCGGGGACCCTGATCTGCCCACGCTACCTGCCCTGGGAGAACACTCTCTCTGCTGTTGCAGAGTTGAGTAAGTTGGGGGGAGGGAGGGGCTACTTGGAAAGGAGCCCCATTCACTGACCCACTTTAGCTCCCCTGTCCTGACTGATTCAGGAATTACTGTCTTTTTGCCCTCTGCCATAAGGATCCCTTGCCAACCTGAGATGATTTTGAAATTGCTTTAAAGAGAAATCTTTTCTGGCTGCCTGCAGAAAAAATAAACGAGTTGCCCTCCAGAGCTGGGAATTAGGACCTCCAAGTCTTGGAAGCTGGGTTGCTTTCTTCCCTTTCTTTCCAAAAGCCAAGTGCTTTGGACCAGAGAAGGAAATTCAGAACTACTGGGAAGATACCGTGCAGGTTGGAAAGGCACTTTTTTCTCCCTCCTACCCAATTAAGTTCTAAAGAATGAAAAAAACCCTTCCAGTGCTTGCTCTGGTTCATCTCCTCCCTCTCGGCCTCAACTCAGGACACATGATTTTCGGCTCTGCCATCTCAGTGGGAAGACGCACTTTCTCTTTGCTCTTCCAGCTGGGAAGCTTGTGAGAATGTGAGAGACAAGATGGAGAGGGAGAGAGAGAGAGAGAGTGTGTGTGTGTGTCTGTCTGCTGGCGGCCAGTCTCTGTGCTCTCGCTCTGCATGTGGGATGCAGAGTGGAGCTGAACGGACAGGACACCTTCCTATCATGTGTGTGTTTATGTGTGTGTGGGCAGTGAACACGCAGCCTCCCTGTGACGTGTGTGTGCCCCCGTGGCGGGGTGTGACAATATGGGAAAGGTGCAAAGAAATGGGTTCTAGAGTCGGGTTTCCATAGAAACACCTGCTGTGTAGGAATACTGTGCGCAGCCTAACTCCCTGTGCTACAGCAAACCTCTGAGCCGAGAAAGTTGAACTTTTGCATCAAGCAAATACATGGGCACAGAATGAGGGAGAGAAGGTAGAGGAGGAGTGTGCAGAAGAAGTGCGGAAGACCCATTGGAGCTCATTTGAAAGACGTCTTTCCTACATCAAAAGGAGAAAAGGTGGGAGGAAGGAAGGAAGGGAGAGAAATGGATCAGTTAAGGTCAGTTGGACAGAGGAGGAGGAAACCTGCTGGAGGAAGGGGTCTTCCCACCCATCTCGCCCCTGGGCTTACCTGCACACACCTGCCTCTCCTCTCAGCTGGGGGTTTAGTCCCCGGCAAGGCTCCCCCTCTTCCTCCCCCACCCTTCGGTGGAGCTGTGGCAGCAGAGAGCCTGCTAGAAGTTCTGATCTCCCAGTGGTGCCTGCGTGCTTGTGTTTGCCTGACTTTTCCTCTACCCGATCCTAGTGGGGTGGGGAGGTTAGGTTAGGGGGAGGGACAGGCAGATTGTAGGCAGGGAGGGGAAGGAGGAGGGAAGGGAGGGAGGGAGGGAGCTTGGGAAAGGAGGAATGACAACAATAAAGTCTTTATTTGGCAGCCAAAACTCCGAAAGACTTCATCCACACACCATGCCCACTAACGGACTCGTTTTTAATAACATTTCCTTCTGCTGCTGCTTCTGGGGGGATATTGTTTGACCCATGTTTGGAAAACAAACCAAATTAACAGAGGAAAAAGTCATGAAAAGCAAGCTCTGTACAGGCCAGAGCTTCGTAGCTGGGTCCAGCCCCAGCCTGTCCCAGACGTCCTCACCATTGCCCTGCTTCTGACGCCTATCACTTTCCTGGTGTGAAATTCCCAAACCAGCAAGGGGCGTGGGGTGTTTCCTCCGAACGGTGACCATCCTGCCCTTTCTCACCTTCTCTAGGAGGGTTACAACAGAGTGGACTCTTGCTGGGCAGTGAGCTGGCAGGGAGATGGCCTTGGTTTGGCTGCTGGAGGGATGCTCTGAGGACCAGAGAGGGAAGAGTCTGGCCTGGGGGTCACACAGTAAAGGCAGACAGAATTAAGATGTGATGTAAGACCTGGAGTCTCTGTCCCTAGCTCATGTGGACAATATCAGTGTCTTTTTTTTTTTTTTTTAAGATTTTTATTTATTTGACAGAGAGAGACACAGCCAGAGAAGGAACACAAGCAGGGGGAGTGGGGGAGGGAGAAGCAGGCTTCCCGCGGAGCAGGGAGCCCGATGCGGGGCTCGATCCCAGGACCCTGGGATCATGACCTGAGCCGAAGGCAGACACTTAACGACTGAGCCACCCAGGCGCCCCCAATATCAGTGTCTTATTTCAACTTCTCTGTACATCTCATGCTCGGGAGAGATCTGGGGGCTGTATGGTCCTCACACAAAATACATGAGGAAATCCAAAAGCCCCTTCTGCACGTCGTCACCGCAGAAGACCCGTTCAAGTAAGACCATCACTCTCCAACAATCCCCCTTAATTAAAAAGCCGCAACACATTTACAGCTAAGTAGTGCCCAGCAAAACTTCCTGCCGCCCCAGGCAACTACTTAGAAAACTTTTCTATCATCCCAGATAGAGCCACAGAGGCAAGTGACAGTGAACTGCCTCCACCCGCCTCCAATCTGGGGTAGAGAAAGGAACCCTGACATTAGGGTCAGCGGCCCTGGGCTCCACCACTTACAAGCCGTGCTATGTTGGGCAAGTCACTGGATCACGTGGAGCCTCTGTGTCCTCATCTACACAATGAGGATGATACCTGCCTCACAGGGTTGGGAGGGTTCAGTGATATCATAAATGGGGGGGGGCCACTTTAGAAACCGGGAAGATGTTCGGGTTTAGGAGAGAGATGATGGTGCCTGGGAGTCAGCCTAAGCAATGGAGAAGGAAAAATAAAACCCACTCCTTCTCTCCCCACCCCCTTTCCACCCTAAAGCTCGTGCCTTCCACACCCTGCTGGGCAGGTCTTGCTGGAAGCCAGCACAACTCTAGATTCATATTAGCCCTGGAGGTGCCAGGCCACTCGTGAATTTTGTTTTTCATCCAGATGGGATATGTCCCCTCCTGCAGACTGAGCCCATCAGCCCCTAGACTTGCTTGTTTCCCTTGGTTTGCCAGGTGGTAAGGAGAGTTCAAGAAAGATGAGCAAGATACATGAAGCTCAGGGAGAGCAGGCCCGGGGCGGAGAGCAGAGAGGGGAGGAGCTAGACAGTGCGTGGGGGCGGGTGGGTGTGTGACTTCTATCCATTTTCGTGGGGTTCCATCCACATCCCAGAGTCTGTGCTCCTTGATGAAGACCAACTCCAAGTCCTGTCAAGCCAATGTTTCTCCCTGCCCGCCCCGCTCCGTCCCTCCCTTCCTCCCTGCCTTCCTCCCTCCCTCCTCTGCCCTATCCTAGGTTCTGCAGAGAGAATCAGGATGAAGTATACAGATGGCCAGGGGGATATTCTGGAATGTCAAGAGAAAAGTTTGCTAATTGGTGGCCTGTGGATCTAAAATGGCTTGAGGGGGGCGCCTGGGTGGCTCAGTCGTTGCGCGTCTGCCTTCGGCTCAGGTCATGATCCCATGGTCAGGGGATCGAGCCCCGCGTCGGGTTCCCTGCTCCGTGGGAAGCCTGCTTCTCCCTCTCCCACTCCCCCAGCTTGTGTTCCCTCTCTCACTGTATCTCTCTCTGTCAAATAAATAAAATCTTTAAAAAAAAATAAATAAATAACATGGCTTGAGGACCTGACATGTGTTTTGATAGCTCATTAACAGAAAAACCTTTTTATTATGGCTAATTTAAAACATATACACATTTACACATTGCACAAAAGTATTAATACACGGTACACATTACAGAAGAGTATTAATAACCCAATACACTCAACAACCTGCTTCCACAATCACTAACTCATGGCCCATTGTGTTCCATCCGTGCCCCCCACTGCCACAAAACCCACTGGAATATTTTTAAGCATTGACTTTTTTCAAAGATTTTATTTATTTATTCTAGAGAGATAGCAGGAGCGGGGGTGGGGGGGAGGAGCAAAGGGGAGGGAGAAGGAGGGGGAAGGAATCCCAAGCAGGGCTTGATCCCACGACCCTGAGATCCCACGACCCTGAGATCATGACCTGAGCTGAAACCAAGAGTCTGACATTCAACAGACTAAGCCACCCAGGCACCCCAAAGCATTGACATTTTCAAAAGTTGGATTTGAAGCTTTCAGGCAGAGAAAGCACTTCCCGGTTGAACACAGTCATCCTTCAGTGCTGTCTTATCTTCGAGTCGACAGCCTAGATGACCTCACTCAATTACTCTCCTGCCTGTTCCCTGAGATGCTTGAGGTCACAAGCACTGGTCTAGGGGCAGCAACTGAGAAATGAAGTGAGTCGGGACAAATCAGGGATGCTATAAGGGATGCTATAAGGGAGAAAGTGGCAGGTTATCTCAACCAACCTGCCTTTCTCACCCCTTCGACAGAGGACAAAACCACCTCTAGACTGGGAGACAGGGGGCTGGGTTCTTGAGACCTGGCTTTGCCTTTCACACGCTGTGTGACCTTGCAGATGCCCCTCTCCCTCTCTGGCCTCAGTTCATCATCTGAAAATGTGAGGTTGTACTAAGTGACCTCTGAGTTCTCTTCCAGGCATAGTGCGAAGAGAGTCTGAGATTTGCGGTCAGGACCCGGGGTTAACATCTCAGTTCTGCTACTCTAGCTAGTGGGTGAGCAGGTCTTGGGCAATTACTCTTGTCCTGTCCAGGGAGCCCCCCAGGATAACTCAAGGGGTCATTGGAAACATCAGCTGGGAGAGCATTTTGTGGTTCACTGGTTTCATGCAGCCAGACCCTGACCTGAGACTCCTCCAGAAGAGCTTCCTCTCCTCGAGTCTTGGGGACCCCAACTGGCATAGCTTTACCCCAAGGGAGGCATTTATCTCTTCCCGGATCTCAAGGACGACATGAGGACAACCCTGGGGCAAGTGGGTGAAAAGTCAGGATATGCTGGCTGTTGATGCTTGCTCCTAGGAGGGGCTGGGGCAGCCTGGTCAGGGGAAGACGTGGGGCAGAAAATTTGGGGAAAGAGGCAGGGGAGACAGGCAGTGCTCCAATGGGGTGGATTGCAGCTACATTTACAGAGAACCTGGACTCACTCACTCTTCCCACCTAGGTTGAAACTATCTCAGAGCTCACTGCTTATTTGACCCTCACGGTAACTGCCGTCTTGTTACAAGCAGTGAATGCTCGCAGCCCAAGAAGAAAGGGCACGACTGTCCGATCCTTTCCATCGAAACACAGAAGGGAGGCTGCTCAGGCTCCCCACCTCCCCACCGTCCCGCCCCAGCCTCTGCCAGGAAGGAGCAGTGTGGCCCGGAGGGGTTTTGGCTCAGACTGCCCCGTGGTCATCAGGCACACACACAGAGGCTGGCCCTGCGATGGACCCTCGGCCCTCACCTTACTGAGGCTCACAGTGTAGGGTGGCTGGGGGTCCTGGCAAGTGCGGACCAGCGAGAAGCTGTGGGAGTTCTGTGGTTGCTTATCCCCCCACCCCACCTGGGGGGCCAGGGTTGCCTGGGGTAAGTGGGCTCCTGGTGGTTGGAGGCAGTATCCTGCTCATCATGGCATAACCCACAGCCCCCACCAGGGCCTTGGCACACCCTGGGTGCTCAGTGGGAGTCTGTTTCATCACATTTAAGAGGGTTGAATGAGGAGATTCTCTGTCACTCACTTTATAAAAAATGTTGTTTTTTGAATATGAATAGGCAATACATTCTCTTGATTCAAAATCCAAAAGATACAAAAGGTTGTGCAAGGAATAGTCTTCTTCCCCTGTCTGTCTCCCCATCCCCTAGTTTCCTCCAGAAGACAATCAGCATAGCAGTTCCTTGGGTCTTGCTAGATTTATTTAATGCCCATACCAGCGATTTGTACAAGCAACTGTGCACTTTTATTCTTACTTAGTGGCATATCTTGACGACCATTCCATCTTGGTATACAGGCTCTCTCTCTTTCTCTCTCTCTGCCCAGTATTTATTTGACCAGTCCTTCTTGGGTGTCTGGTCCTCCTGCTGCATTTTTTTTTTAATTTTTTTTTTTATTACATTTTTAAGGTAGGCAATGCCGAGCTTGGGTCTGGTTCTGACTCTGCTTCACCTCCATGTGAACTAGGTGGCCTTGAGCTTCTGGCTTGTCCTCTCTGAGCGTCCATTTTCTCAGCTGTAGGGGATGGGTGACCACTGCAGGCCATCAGCTCAGTAGTTCAGTCGTTCTATGGTTTAACTTTCTTCTACCGTTTAGCTTGATTTCCGAACCTGAGCACTCATTCCGCGCACGGTGGAAAACTTCCTCTCAGTCCTTCTTGGTACCCCTCCCCCTGGGGTTGCACAGCAGTTGGGATGAGTTCATGGGGTGCCAGG